TGAATTCAGCAAGAAGATAGGTGGCTCCACTGCCGATGTCATGTGCGAAATATTGGCTGTAAGTTTAGTTATTAAGAATCCGATGTGAATTATTGATTAAAAAACTCATGCATTTACAGTTTGAAGCCGATCGCCGTGCCATAATTATTACCATTAACTCCTTCGGCACTGAATTGTCAAAGGATGATCGCGCTAAGCTGTATCCTCGCTGCGGTCATATGCACCCGGATGGTTTAGCTGCATTGGCACGCGCCGATGACTACGAGCAAGTGAAGACCGTGGCCGAGTATTATGCTGAATATGCCGCACTTTTTGATGGTTCTGGCAACAATCCTGGCGACAAGACACTTGAAGATAAATTCTTTGAGCATGAAGTCAAGCTTAATGTCTTCGCTTTCATGCAACAGTTCCACTTCGGCGTCTTCTACGCGTACTTGAAGTTAAAAGAGCAAGAGTGCCGCAACATTGTGTGGATTTCGGAGTGTGTGGCACAGAAGCATCGCGCGAAAATCGACAACTACATACCCATTTTCTAAATTGTATCCATAAATTTTTGTTGTTCTTTCGGGTTGTTGCTGTCGCTCGTGTATGTTTTGCACTTTGGTCGATCAAAATAAATAAACTGAGTTTTGTTCGATTGAAATCGTTGCATACAAAATCACGAGCATTTTAATTGTTAACAGTATCTTTTTGTGTATATATATACAAATATGTATGTAATTTGTTTGTCTTGTAATACGAGTGGTATACATTAAAGGCAAAATTTCCAAAATTTTTGTTTCAGTATAAACTATTTGCTGATTAATATTTCATGTGCATATCGACATGCGTAAAAGTTTAAAAACATACATAGGAAAAACATAATTGAATATATAAATGTAAACTAACTGTATTAAATACCCCATTGTGCAAATATACATATAGAACATACATGCATATATCATTAATAGGTTACTGTAAATTACCTATCTGAAAATAATAAAATTTGTTTCCAAACATTCCTTAAAACAGATGTGACTCACAATTTTCATCGTAAATAAGTGATTTAGGCCGAACGTAAGGAGTAGTAATGTCCCAGAAGATAATTTAAGCCATTCTAAGAGGCCGTCACAAGAAGGGCTGAATTACGCGAATGCATAGCATTACAAATGAATTTCAATAAACATTTTAACTTTAAGCAAACACTTCAAAAATACTTTTTATAAATTTAAGAGAAAACTTTAAAAGAACTCCTCCAAAAGGCCATCTGAAGTACATCCTGTAAAAGCCCGTTTGGACGGCGTTTTATGTGTAGCGAAAGAAGAAGCCCTTCAATTTGTGCAAAAAGAAAGGAGAAAGGAATGTAGAGTGGAAGGCCTCTTGACTCTCAGGAAGGGCTTTTAGCTCCTGAAATTATCTACTGGGGTACTTAATAACGCAATTTCACATCATCAGGAGTGTTCGCTATGCAGCTGCCAGTAAGAATTACCCAGTAACAAAATTCAGAGAACAAGGTACCTTACTCTCCTGAAGAGAGAAACTTACTAAGTTTTGCGCGAACAGGAATTATAAAACTTTAGCTAGCTTCACTGCCAGCTGGCATCCACGGTTGCATTTCGAGCATAGTAATTTTTTTTTTAATTATTTCAGGTGGAAATCAAAACAGAACTTATACGTATATTTCTTCTTATTTTGACTCTCTTCAACATACGCTTCAATTTCATTGTGGAAGTCACTGTCGGATTTCCTATACCGACAGTGATGTCGAGTGCGTTCTGATTACGAATACAGCTTTTTCAGCCCAGTACCTTTCAAATGTTTGGAATTAATTAAATTAATTGAATAAATGAATATTTACATACTTCTTTCATTAGTAAATCGCAACAAGATTGTTCATTTTTAAATTTAACGAACTCGTTGATTCAAATTAATGTTGACAAAAATGCAACCGTGTGCCACAATCCTGCTTGCAAATTCTTACTGGCAAACATTTTCCCAGCACGAATTTGCAACTTGCCCTCCATATGAAATGTCAAAATTGTGCTCTCTCCTTGCAAGTTTTACTGGGTTTTTGGCTAAACGAACACGATTTGGTAACAATTGGTACCAACTTGTACACATTTTTTGCATAGCGAACACTCCGATCATCATATCAAGAACTACATAGAATATACATCGGTCGAAAAACTATATCAGTCAGTCAAAATATCATCGCATTCGGTCGAATCCAATCCTTAATGCATCGCAAATTTTATTTAAAAAAAACTGGCAGAAAACCAATTTAATGAACCGCGTTTGCAATTTAGCATTGCGAAATTCTAAACTTTGAGAAGGTTAATGATGACGACGGGAACGTATCTCAGGGACAATAGACCTAATATAATTTGATTTAAATAGCTTAGGGCCGGTTACTCAATGTCTGGTTAACACTAATCTCCGGTTAAACATTGTTATCGACGTATTCGACTCCATTCATATAACAGGGAGTCGGTAACGTCGACAACGATGTTTAACCAAAGATTAGTGTTAACCAGACTTTGAGTAACCGGCCCTTAATCAGTTTAGCTAAAGAGCAATTCTTTTATTGCTTCTGTTAAATGCAAAATGTCGTTGTACACAATTTCTTTGGTAATTGTACGCACATACATACATACATATATATGTACATTTCGATGGTCCTCTGCAATAACGACTCAATCCAAAATTCAAAAAATGAAAACCCTTACTACTGTTAAGTGGCTCATGTTCTTAATCCATGTCCAATCCTTACTAAAGTAAGTAGTGAGGATTGCTAAAGTACATAAATACAAGCCTCATGGAGGCTATACAGCCGCCGAAGTTGTTTCCGAGCGCCCAACTACTCCGAGAGACTCTACAAGTGTAAGGTGCTGGTAAGGCCTTGGGTGTATTAGAGTTGCAATAAATGCTACAGTGTTACTTTTTATGAAACAGTATCACGTTCTATGGGAAAATTTGGGCGACTCTGCCTACATCAAGCGCTCGAGAAACAAAATTTTGACAATCAGTTACTCATCATTGCCAAATCAAAAGCAACATAAAAATTTTTACTGCCCAATTTCTGCAGCATTTTAGGAAATGTTCAGTTGAGCATCAGCAACAAGTCATAAGGGAAAGCAACAAGGCTGCAATATTGCGGTAATTATTACGTATGTAGCTCGAACGCACCCATTACTACGAGCCCCTATTTGCAACGGGGAGGATAACCGTTGCCTTCATATTAATTTCTTTATGACAACACAACGCATAATAATTAAATCGCTGGTACTTACCTACTGCTTATTGTTTTTTAACTCGAATGCCGCCTTTATCCCTACTGCTTATTGTTTTTTAACTCTAATGCCGCCTTTATCCCGCTCACTCGGTTTAATTCCCATTCCGCATTTCACTTTGAGCTGTTAAAAAGCAACAAGTACTTTAAAATTTAAATATTTCCGTGATTTTAAATTTACGTACATACCTCATAAAATTTATTATCTTAAACGAGATGCTGTTAAGATTTCAATGAAATCATGCGTTTTTTCGGAGGCATTTAAAATTTGCAGCTGTACATTAAATTGATTTTTAGCATCTTTTTTAAACTTGAATCCTGTGTTAGTGTTGATTTATTCGTGCTGCGAGCGATATACTGGCAACGCAGCCAGTTTATGCCACTTCCGGAAAAATTCGACATTCCGGCAGGAAAAAATATTACCGTTGCCTTCAAGCCCCTAACTCGGACGGAAAATCAACTTTAATAAAAATATATGCAATGGTTAATGTTCCAAATAAAGGACTCGCGTATTTGAGTTTTTAATTTTTAATTTAGCGTAGTGGCGAGGTACCCGAAGAAGAACCTGGCGTTTATACAAGACAAGAAAATTGAGAACATGTATTATTTGTCACATTGTTTGATTAAAGTAGGCGTCTAGTGGACCTCTTGTAAGTCGACTAATCGGTTAGTCGAATAGCAAAAGTTGTTTAAAAATAGTCGACTTCTCTTAATCGACTAACCGTTTCCTTTCGACGTTTTCAAGTAATGCTGCGTTTCTACTGCATTTAAATTGCAACATTTAGCACTTAGAACATATATTTTCGAAGAGAGTTCATGCTATCGCATTTACGCCTAAATGCAACTCCGTTTCTGCATTAATTTCATTTTCCCGCGCCATCATGAGTTACTATGTTCGTTCGTCCAATTACGATCGCGAATTACCCCAAATATACGCCCGTTATTTTTTGAGAAGAGTGAGACAACAGGCCGTGAAATATCATATGTCAAATTCGTTGGATACACGAAATAATCGCAATTTTTTCTTGACCATTTTCTTGAGAGCTGCATGCAGTTCTATATACTGTTCTTTTCAATAAAGTGGATCGAAAATACCCAACTTTTTTTTACTTTTAAAATTAATTCGGAGAAATATCTAATACTAGGTTCATATATATGTAGATTATCCTCTTTTTCGAGCTTAACTTCCTAATCTGTAATTAGGAAAAGAGATTAGCTATATAAAATTCGTCCCTTGTTAATCTGTAATTATAAAATAATCTCAGATTTAACCGATAACTTTTCGGTGTCCATTCTAGTTTTATCGATTGTTTTTGCGAAAGAGAGGAGAAATGCCAAATGTAAAAGTAAACAAAAATGTACGCTAGCAATTAAAAGAGGTTTGTAAAGGTATTTTTAATAAAGTGTTAAGTTAAAATATATTTATATTGCTTAATATAGCAGAAAAACGTGATCACGGTGGCACAGAGAAGAAACATAACTTTTCCTTGAGATGTGAGAATAACAAGCACAACAAATTTGACGGCTAATAATCTGAGATTTGCCTGTGTAAACGGGGTGATTAAAAAAGGAGCTTTGTTTGAGATAATATTGATATGTGAACATAGTTTAAACCTCGCACAAATTCCTCTGTTTCAAACCAAACAGCCAACTGTCAATTATTTTTTCTTGCCTACCGTTTTTGTGCTTTCAGGTGGCAACATTTATTGTGCTCTGACGAATCGCATCGCAAATTCGTTTTTTCGTTGGTTTTCTTCGTTGATGATCGAAGAGGTGGAAAGAAGTTTTACTCATCGTGCGTAGAAAAGTTTTATACAATTTCACTTATGAATATTGGAATAAAGACAAAATAAAAGTGCTTAAATTTGAGGCTAGAAAGATTGTGCGTGTGCGTGCCAATAGGAAAGCAAAATTGCATATTTCTACGGTGTGAAAAAAGTGAAGCAGCAGCAGTACCGAAAACGGTGAAGAAAAATCCAATTGGACTTGAAACCAGATAGAAAAGCAAAGGACAAGTCGTCATATGCGAAGAGTTAAACAAAGAGCAAAGCAACAACGAAAAATTAGGAATTAAAGAGAAGCAGTGAAAGTGGAATACACAAACAGGAAAAAATTGACAGTTCGCTACGAATGTTGCTAAAAAGTAACTACATTCTTGTCCAGCTCCAATTGTCCATGGCATAGGGTCACTGTTCTGGTAGAAACCTCAGAAACAATAACGAAACTTTTGGCCACAAAGCATTGTAAAACTTTGGTGGAAACAAAGATCAGAAGAGCATAAAAGCAACGGAAAGAAAGGTGCTTAGCCCATCTTAACGCCTTTTCCACACTGCTACTGCTGTGGCTCGTCTTTCGTTAACGTGTCTTGAACTCTAGTATTACATATTACCTGTGCCCTGTACGCCCCGGAAACATCGGAATACTCATACCTGTCACACGCCACCTTCACTACCACAGCCAACAACAGTGCCACTTTCAACGTTAAAGTGAAGTTTGTGCCTACTGCTAAACTAGTTAAAATCGTGACTTGTTCTTGTCGCAAATATTTCTAAGTGGCAAGAGCCTACGAGGATAGAAGTGCTTCGTTCCTGCTGTATTGCTTCTTAGATTTATCCACAAATTTTGTTTTTTTCTAACTGAAACGCACCAACAGTGAAAACAGTAAATAAGTGAAAAGTTGCTGTGAAGGTACGATTAAAATATTGGATATGGCGCTCGATATGGGACTGCCCGTAAATGGCACCAATGCGCTGACATCATCCTTCACGTCGAAGAAAAAAGATGCATCCACTGCAGCCGAGGAGAATTTATGGTAAGAAAAATTTATAAATGAGAATCCGCGTAGCTTCTGCCGAGGGAAAAAATATATGTACATATGTATGTATTTGTGTGGTAAATGTGCATAATTTGTACATAAATATGAATGTATATAATATTAAGACAAGAGCGCATATGCATAGAAACTAAGCAAATGCTTTTTCTTAAAATTTAAGACCTTTATAACTCGATTTCTTCAAATAAATTTAATTGAAAGGTATGAAATTTAAAGAAAAAACAATTGCTTAGTTCTTATGCATACGGCCCAAGGAGTATTGTGTTAACTTTTTGAGGAATACGATGATATTACAACAACAAAGTAAACCAGTAACCAGGAAACCGTGAACACCTACATTATACACATTTCCCATTGCGATGCTTAATAATATTATATGCATAATTGTTTTTATATGTATACAGAGCTTTCTGCAATGCATTCCTTAATGACAATATTCACCTGCATACCTCCGCTGCTCACCTAGTCGAAGTTTCAGTACCACACGCGCGCTGGCTACCGTAGACGTCATTCTGTAGACAAGAACAAATGTGAATTCAAAGTATGTATGTACATATGTACACAAAGTAATGGCCGTATGTGCGATAAACCTGCTCAAAAGCACTCAACGTCTCTGGCTAATAGCAGAATTTCTATTTTTAATTATTCTCCTAATAATGTGAATGTGTCATCTGAGCTCAAAACACCTTTCACACTCTGAATTCTTCACCTTTTATACCACAAGATTATTTACATGTCAATCATGTTGTGGTATAGATAAGTTTTTTTTGGATTTTAACACCCCCATTTACGAAATCATAATAAAAAATTTCAGTATACATTGCATTCAATATCGCCGTCATTTGGTGGCCCAAGTTTCTCTGTTTGTTGCTTTGGTTGCATCTGTAGCTCATTAAAATAATATAGTTTTATAAACATACATATGTACATACATACATACATAGGTGCAAGTTTTTGTTTTCTTCTATAGCACTCTCCTACATTGCCCGCTTTGTATTCGTGTCATTTTTTCATGGATTTCTACTGCTCCCACTATTTTCAATATAGACAAGCAGCCAGCCAAACGATTGACTACCAACGCTCTTTTGTTAGCCGCTCAGCTCGCTGATTAGGAAAGCGAAAAATTGCAAATGCAAATATCTGTTTGTTTTAAAGATTATGTTTATTTTCAACATTTACTTGTTTCATACGTTTACTTTCTAAATTAAAAAGCGCGTGAATATTTTGGCACCGATGTCATGTTGTTGTTTGTGTTGTTGTTGTAGCGGTGTCATAATAGCCGTCGCTGCTGGTTTCGTTATTTGTATTATTTTTTGCTATGTTTTATAATTTCCCAAAGTAAAAGCGCTAAAATTTTTTTTTGCACAAATTTATCATGAACATGCTGTTAGCCAAAGAGTCATTCTTCATTAGTATTAGGTTCCCACCATTAAGAGCTTTTGTTATCAGTTCACGTAATAATTCGCATCTGAATGAACTAAAGTACAACAATATTGCGAATATTTGTGTAGCAACCAGCCTCTAGCAACTTTTCTATAATATTTTAAACAGTCAAATTTGCATTATATAAATTATTTGCTCATGATAACGGGGTCACTTCGTTTGCCTAGACCTAAACTGCAGTGAAATCATCGCCATCTACATACATTTTCAGCTATTACTGTAACTCGTTTTGCTTTTGCATAAATGATAGTCCAAGCAACTCTAGCGTGATTTATATAGAGTTTGAAATATATTCGCGAGACATTGTATCCACATATTTCAAGAAAGGTGTAAAACATGCAGTAGGGGTTGGAAATTTTCAGTTCGGACAGATAACCCTTGTCAGCATTTTCGTTGTGGCGTCTAAGGAGGGCATCCGCGTAAAAACAAACAAGGGAGCAGACAAGCAGCGACTAAAAATCCAACTAGCACTGAGTCGTTCTTAGCAGTAAGTCAACATAGATTCATTGTATAATCGCAATAACCAGAAATGCCAGGGACCCGGACTTCTATATTTTTAACTTTTTTAATCAAAGTCGTTAGAAAAAAGTTCTTTTTGGAATTTTGTTTTATTTGAAATAAAATTCTCGGTCAACTCGGACTTTTATTTTTGTAGTCCAGTAATAACAACTTGGCCAAATATTTTTTAAGGCCACAATAAGTCCTTTGCTAATAATAATATCCAAATTAAACAAATTTGGTATCAAATGAAGAAGGACCGAAATAGCTTTAAAACTGAACTATGTAAACAAGAAATGCCTTCTTTTGAAAAATATTTCAATAAAAAATGTCATGTCAGAAGAAAGTTTGGTTCAGGCATATGAATTTATTTTGTATAGAATAGATAATACTTACGTGAATAATATCACTTATATTTTTGTTTGAAAGCTATTTTCGTCCTCTTTCATTTGATACCGAATTTGTTTAATTTGGATGAGCGGTTTATTTATTATTTCGGTTAAAAAAAATATATATTTGGCCAAGTTTAACCGTTATTACTGGAATAAAAAATAAAAGTCCGGAGTTTTCAGTTATTGAACTTTTTCCCAGAGAGTCGGAAAATTAGAAGAATCCAGTACTCCTGTCCAGGAGGTCATGGGATCAAAGGAACATTGATAACTTTCTTCTACAATATTTGCGCCGGACTTACTTTCGGCCCTGAGAAATACGGGTCTGAAAAAAAAAAAAATTGAGAACAATCGCTTTGCAAATTTAATATTGTACTTAAAAGGCAACGATATCCGACTTTTTTGACCTTTTTGGCACGAAACATTTATCGTACATGTACATCTTAATAAATTTCTGACTAAACTGCCCATACAAAATATATCTCAAGGATAAAAAGTATAGACAAACACGTTTACAATTTTTAGCGCCGCAAGTCTCTGCTGCCATTTTTCATATTTTCTCATGCAAATCTAATGGTCTTCAAAAGACGTGATAAATTTCTGGGTTCAATGTGGCGGAAGAATGACCGACTCCGATTAAACCAAATTAGTATAGGACCACCTCTGACGTATGTACCATCTTTCCATAAAAAAAAAGAATTATAGAAATCGGTTAACGTGGTTCAAAGTTAAACGGTAACATACATACAAAAAAATATTCCGACGAATTGATAACCTCCTTTTTTGAAGTTGGTTTAAAACAATGGAATTCGCTAAAATTCCACAAAATTTTAGACTTAGAGTTGCTATAACTCAGCAAGTTTGTGAATTTATATGAATTAAGGGCCTTATTCTGTATCACGAACGATAGGCAAAACGAACGATTCGTCTGCAGACGACAACCTCTCAGAAAATTATGTCAAAAAGCTGCAACAAACTTTAGAGTCGACTTTATTTTGACTATGAATATGCCCCATTTCTTTAAAAAATACGGTATTCTATGGGTTATAAAACTGCATACCTAGAATTTTTCCAAAAAATCCACGGGAACCAATTCGACAAATTGTTGGGGGGACCGATAAGTTTTAAGATAAATTTTAGAGGGTGAGCGCTTAACATTTTAAACTTTTTTTTGGACCACCCTAATGTACATACATACAGTGCCGGACAAAAGTATTGGCACAGAGAATTTTTCGCAATATATGCAAAGTTTTTTATTCTAATTAATTTTCAATATTATTTAATAAAAATATAGTTCGTACTTCACCAAAAAACATAAAAACAAAATCTCTAAACTTTGTGCTAAACTCAGGAAAATTCAATAAATTTGCATACTAATTTGCAACTTCTTATTCAGATTTTTTAGAGAAATTCTAAGTATGTAGTTTTATAGCCCAACTAATTTTAGTATAACAAAGTGCAAGTTTGAAGTATCTAAAGAATTGCTTTGATTTTTGGACATTTTTTTAGTAGAAGGTGTTGCTCATTTTCTCCATACAAAAAATAATTGTCGAACATACTTTGTACGGAAGAACCTGACTGAAAAAAAATTGCCAAAAATCAATGCGATTTTTTAGCACCTTCAAGCTTGCACTTTTTTATACTAAAATTAGTTGGGCTATAAAACTGCATACTTAGAATTTTTCTAAAAAATCTGAATAGAAAGTTGCAAATAAGTATGCAAATTTATTGAATTTTCCTGAGTTTTGTACAAAATTTAGAGATTTGGTTTTTATGTTTTTTGGTGTAGCACGAACTATATATTTATAAAAAATTATCGAAAATAAATTAGAATAAAAAACTTTTCAGATATTGCGAAAAATTCTCTGTGCCAATACTTTTGTCCGGCACTGTACATGTGTTTTGAATAAATTCGGTATTATATTATACGCCCTTGAAATGATATCATTGATTTGTTAGGCGATGATAAAAAAATTAAAATTTTAAGCCTAGAGTGCTCGCGCTATGAGCATTTTTTCGCCTGGGGAAAAAAATCGTTTTACTTTATTTTCTAAATGATGCATTTGTAAAGGCATAAAATAAACAATCAGTAGGAAAGCAATAGAAATTCTTGCTGGTCCAGCCGACAGGGCTTCAAAAAAACAGTTAGTATTGTTTACTCAACAATCTTCTAGCGCTTAATATTCGGTTTCATTTTAAATCCGACACATACACACATGTGCACATGATTTCCAGCGCTTCATTAAGCGCAGATGATTCACTGCTACCTTCAAATCTCATTAAAAAAATGAGTTTAGTCGCTGGTGGCATTGCAGTCATCAACGACGCGTCGTTCGCTTATTCGTAGCTGTCGTCGTCGTAGTCGTGGATAGCCAAAAACGAGATGCCTTACATACAGCCGTAGATACTGAAATGAAAGGGGTTCGGAATGTATCGAAGGCATGAATGGTTTGGATGGTGGCATATTGAGGCGCACTCAATTTTGGTTGGGTTGGCAAATTAAAATTCTGTTTGCGTTTTGAATTCGCCAATATGGCTGAAAGAAAAAAACTAAAAAATTCATACACATACAAAAACGCAAATGGAATTGTATCTCCACATTCAAGTTCGTCTTGCTGACGATGCTCAGACCTACTATGTCCGAATATTTTCGTATAAGTAGTTTGATACACGTTTTATTGTTGTCATATTCAGCGTTTGGTGTTGACGCTTTTAATTGTGGCCTTGTTGGTGATTTTGTTGTTGTTGTTGTTTTCTACTTTGTTTTCGTACTTCTTTACTAAGTCTTGTGCGTTTGGTTTAGACTGTTTTCGAAATTTTTAGCACAGTGAAAGGTTTACGGAAGTATGCTTGACTGTTATTTTGCTACTTATTAGAAGAGAGAAAAACTAAAAAGAAATTAAAAGGCGGTAAGAAATGTTAAACTTAGCTGAATATTCGTTAAATACGGTCGATGCCGTCATCGCTATCGGGGAATCGCTTCACGTGCACCGCAAAAGCTGACAAAAGGGACGGAGTAAACAAGCCAACGGACTGACTATGATTGAGTGCGTACGCGAGTGTATAAATTGTATAAACGGCGCACACTGGGGCCAAGCGTGCTAAAACCTAAATTAAAAGAAAATCCTGTTGTTGGAAAAATAAAAACGCAGGTTTATTCCCCATTAAATTCTACATTTGGGGCTAAGTTTTTAGCTTTCTATCGTATCCAAACTTCACGAATTTGAACAATATTTTATATTTATATTTTCAAAACAGAAATTCAAATTTTCAATTAAAATTGTTACTGTAAGAAAGCGGTTAAGTTTATTTATTTTTTTGTTTTTATTATGTTTAAAAAAAAAACTAAACTAACCTCTATTATTTGCAAGTGTAATTTTCAAAATCGTTTTTTTTTTAATGCGCAAAGCGCTTTTTAATTTGACAGTACTACAATAAAGTATGTTCCCTCCTTATTAAGAATCCGAGTTCAAAACCAAAAGCACTTTGCGCATTTTTAAATAAATTGGTTTTAAAAATTTCATTTTGATTTTAATTAAACACAAAAACATATACTTCTGGCTAGGTTTGATTCTACTTCATTCCGGACTTAAACTGTTAATTTTTAGGTGGCTCAATGAATAAAAATTTGAATTATTTCTATCAAGGACTTTAAAATCTTTAGTGAGAAGCGGATTTAGTTCGCACAAGGACTTTAAAAACTTTAGAGAGATCTATAGTACAAGTAGTAGTTAATGTACTACAATTACATACAAAAAGTTTTGACTATTCATTTAACTTTTATTTAATTTTCATTATCTTTTTATAAAAATATAGCAGATTTTTTTATTTCATTAATGTTTTTAATTTAATACATTACTTGCTTTTCGATATTTTGTTTGCCTTATTTTTAAATCTCTTTAAATTTAAAATGTAATGGGGCATATTCATAGTCGAATCAAAGACGAAACTAAAAATAATTTCGACTTTTTTGACAAATTTTTCTTAAAAAGTGTTGTCAAAGAGCTGAAATTATTTTTATTTTCAACTTTGTTTTGACCATGCACACATCCCATTATGTTGTCAAAGTCGTAAATGGGTTAAATTATTCATAATTTGTATAATAATAAAATCAAATTAATTTAACATATTTATATGTACATTTAAAAAAATGCCATGTGGAAATGAACTTAAAGACAATTTTTTTAATGTAATGACACGATTATTTTTTAATGCCCGACTTTGTCATTAGTCATTTTTGCCATTTAATGCCTAGTGGAAATCCAGCATAAGGCACTACAAAAACTGCGTCACCAATGGGTCAATGCATGATGAATAATGGGTTAGGACGTGAAAAATTTACTCTTAAAATGTTGTTCAAGCGAGTCCAATGGACAGAAAATGATTTCAGAATTTTGAGCACCCGCTTCTATGGGGTGGCCCCAGTGTGCGGCGCCGGCACTGAGTACTGGCAGCGGGCTGTAGGCTGATAGCTGGGTCTATGTATATGTATGGGAGTGTGCCAGCGCATTTTCCTGTTCCATTTAACCTGCATAAATAAAAAAAACTGCACTAAACAATGAATTAATAATTTTTTCTTTTGATTTTCTTTTCCTGTTTAAGTTTCCTTTTTATTGCTCTTTTGTTTTGTTGTGGGACAGTGATTTATCGCTCAAGCTGTTTATTCATACAAATTTCCCGCATTTAAATCATTTAAATTTCACATTTCTTCAATGTAAACAACGTCATCTTCATCGTCTTCCCCCTCGTCTACGCCATTGTTTTTATCATTTCTCGCTTTCAATTGCTGCTGCTGCTGCTTCTGTTTTTGCTTCTCTGCCTCTTCGGCCTCCTCCAGCTCTTGCTTATCGTAGCTGGCCTGAATGCGTTCCAGCAAATCGGTCGCCACTATCGCGAATCCCTCCCACACCGCGTCCGGCCGTGTGCTGTGCTCAAACAAACGCTCCTCATCCAAGTAGTCGACCAACAAATCACAAATATCATCTAATATTTGCTCCTGGCATACATCGGCCACATTGCTAGCGTCAATCAGCAGATTCCACATTGCTTGACAAATGATTGTGGCCAAGAACCAATCTTCCTCCTGTAACGCAGCACCCAGCAACGTGTGCAATAGCTCTGGGCCTTTATGCTGCATGAATGGCGCACGATTTTCAGCATCGCCCAGCAAGTTGACGAGCACACCAATGGCACAGGCCTTGAAATCGTACGCCTGGCTGGCATTTGTTGCGGACAGCTGTTGTACGATCAGCGCCAGGCCGCCGTTGCGGCAGAAGTATCGACGTGCCTTGTCGTTGCGTGTCAAATTGCCCAATACACGAGCCGTCTCCACTTGTGATGCTTCGTCGCGGCAAGACTTCAGCGCGTAGAAGAGTGCTGTGGCTAAATCGCCGAGCACACATTGCAATGAACCCTTGGCTGCGAGCACTTGTGCCGGTGTGTTATTCTGTTCCTGATAGAAGCATAGATTGTGTAGTGCGCCCAGTGTGGCATGCAACAATTCCTGCAAGTCGCTCTTCTGTAATGCAGCAACAAATTAATATATTTAAATTGCATTTCCTATGCATTTGCTGTGTTAGTACGCGACTTACCAATTGTATGGCCTTCATGTGTGTAATGGCATTCAATAGATTGAGCATGATGATGCCCAGATTGTGTGTATTTCCCAAACCAATGCCAACCTCGGCATTCACGCTCATATTTGCGACGACTCGTATCATTTTAACGAGCACATCGATCACCGTATCGCCCAGCGAGTTGTGGAGTGTCAAAGGCTCTTTGGAGTAGAGTTCCAGTACGCGCAGCAAATACTGCATTGCCACATCGTTGTGAAAGAACTGTTGAGCTCAAAATTAGTTTTATGTCAAATGAGATTGGAATTATAATCGAAAGTTAAGAAGTTACAATTACAATAAACAAATGATACATAAGTTTTGTTGTTTGATTTTATTTCACTCTGTTTTTGAATAAGTCGATACCCCTAAAATTGAGAGTAGCCAGCTTCGAAACCTTGAGGACAAACAGGGATATGTTATCAAATAAGGGGCGTCTAATAATATGGGGCGGTAATAACTGCAAAACTATTCAAAGGTAAGGTTATTAGAAAAAAAAAAAATTGGTACGTTTTTCTCTTATCGGTAAAGTAGTCGATATATATACATAGATATTTCTAAATTTCGTTATAAATATACATACTTATGTATTTGTAGTTATTATTATTATTTGTCGATATCATTATCGATATATGTATGTAGATACATATGTATTTACCGATGAATATCGATGATACATTTTTAATGTTCTTATCGAATTCGGTTACTCCCTCAAACAACGATTAAATTTATGAACATGTATCGATATATTTATCGATTGCGTTATCGATATTTCTGTCGATATATAAAAACCACAATGGTTATCGATAACAATATTTTTATCGATTAAGTCGTTATGATTATCGATATGTTTTCCGATTAAAGCCCCCTATGGTTATCGATACCGATGCTAGTCGTTCGTGATTTTTTCATAAAGTCACAAAAAAGGTTTCTCAGAGGGAATCTGAAAAGTTATCGAAAAATAAGCGAGGAAACTCAAAACAGACTTACATTTTCCGAGGTATCTACCTCTTTTCGGACATTTTCCCCGTAGCGCGTTAACTTACATTTTACATTCTGCAGTTGAAAATCGACTTGCAGTACGAAAACTGAAAATTAACTGTCGAATGTGAGTTGTGCAACACGACATGGGAAAACTATAATTATTTGTGTAGGTATTCACACCTAGTTGGTTTTTGTTAATGGCAAAAAATAGTTCACTGTCTAAAAAAACTAATCTCATATTAAAAAAAAAATAATATTTAAAAAGTATTTTCTTGAAAAACGCCATTTTTTTTAAAAACATGGTTTTTATAGAGATTAAACAAGCTTTATGATGGTGTGATTTTAAATCGCTAATTTACTGGTCTTCACTATGTAAATCAACTTCAAAAAGTTGTAACTATTTAAACCTGAAAAAGCTTTAGGGCAATCATTCTTTAGCTTTAAAATGACGTTTGGACGAAGTCTCTGCGATGGGTAGAACGCGAGATACAACGATATGAAGAAGTACATTATTTGTGAGAATCACGAAAAAATCCAAGTTAAGACAAATCATGTCTTCGAAGAAAAAAAATAAATTCTCGAATACGTATAAGCTTATTTCATATATTCCTTACAAAATTTGAAGCCGAAGGTATGACATAATATTTGGTGTCCAATATGTAAAAGAATGCCTCTAAACAAGAATGCCGAATTACACGGAAGGTGTGAATACCTACAATATTTTTTTATCACTCAGTTCTCCCAGTTTTTAAGAAATACAAAAATATTAGTATATTACATATTTATATGAGGGTGCGATCTCCTCTAACATTTGGCAACTCCTACGCAGAATCCACTAAACCCGGTAAACTAAAATCGAAAGACTTAACTTTGAATTTACGGACACTGCTGAAATAAAATATCTAGCTGCTAGTATGTCGCAAAATATATATCGACTCGAACCCAGTTTAAATTTTGTTGTTAATTTTTTTTTGAATATAATTCCTTTAAATGTTAAGTTCGTTTTCTAACGGCTAGCGATAAGTTATTTCGCTAATTAAAAGTTATCCATAACAAATCTCACTGTCTCACTCATAACAGAGAGATCTTTCCATATCTTCTACAACATATTCTTATACATACATATGTAACTCACCTGCACCCGAGCGTTATCGTATTTAGCCATAATATTGCCGAGTATGTAGCCCAGTCTACTGAATAGTGACAGCAATTTTTCAGAAGCATTATCAAAGATCTCGCAACACGGACCCAAAAGCATGCCAATGCGTGCCGTAAAGTTGACCAACACGTGGCAACAATCGCTGTCCTCGGATAGCACACTGCAACAGCAACAACAATTTCCATGTTAATTAAATTCGCATTTAAATATGTCAGCAATATGTAATCCCCTCCCTCTCCGTTGCAACTTACCTGAGAGTGCGCACAATATTTGCCTGCACTTCCAGCTCACCAGTCGCCACCTCTGCAGCACGCACCAAATGTGGACACGCCATCTCCAATTGTATGCTCTGTTGTTGCATAACACCCGCTTCCTGCGTCGTTGGCAAGTCTGTGCGTACCGAAGCATTCAAATCCTTTTCCATGGAATTTGTCGTCTGCCGCACATCGGACAGCGCACGCAAAGCGGCAGACAATTGATACAACGAATGCAGTGGCGATCCAGTTAGCTTTTGTGTTGCGCCGGCCTCATTCAAAATTTGTAAATGCAACACCATTAGTTCCACAGCACCGTGACGTGCCAAACGTTCTACAAGCGAATTTTGCTTGCTCAGCTTCTGATAACGATCCTGTTGTAATTGTTCCAGCGCTTGTTTCAAATCAGCGCCAGGTGCTGGTGCAGTAGCTGGCTTGCGTGGTAATTCCAAACATTCTGCCCAATTGCGATTTGTGTCCTTACTAGGCATTACATCCACGCCTCTATCCTGGCCGGTGCTACTGGTGAGGAAACGTATAGATCCATAGCCATAAATGCATGCCTCTGGGTCATCTAGCGGACTGGCACGTCCCAAGCCGTCGATCAGTAATTCTAGAAGGTCGTTATCGTGGAAAAGTTGGTCATTTTGTTCGTTGCGCGCAACTTTGAAGATAAGTTTGCAGGCGCCAGTCAAATTGCTGCCGGTGACGCGTAACTGTGATGGTGGGGCAGGGAGAGAGAGAGAGAGATAGAGAGCATGTGGAGGCATGAGCTTTATGTTATCATTTGAAATGCTACTTACGGCTAGCACTACACGTGCCACGCCCAATAATATTTTCGGCGAAGAGCACTCTACCAACCCGTAGAGACCGCCAAGTATGAAGCCGCGCTTGTAGTGTTTCTCATTCTTGCGTACGCGCGTGTAGAGTTCGACAAGAATCTGTAGAGGAAGAAGAAAAGACAAGAGTGTGAAGCCTGAAGGTCTGGAAAGTGCCTTGCAATAATATTTTTAAAAACAATTCAATGCAGAAAGAAAAGGAAACACTGTGACATATGTATAGCGAATATAACTTTCCTTTGAAACTCCGAACGGAACTGTGACAAAACTGTTTGCAAAACAAACAATTACAAAAGCCCTTCAATAGAAGTCTCCTTGTAAGATGTATGCACTCTTTAAGATTCCTAGTCTTACAATCGTTTATAAAAACGTTTACTTGGCATATCAGTTGCAAAAAAGCTTGCACTTAGGAAACCTTGATTTATAACGAATTGCACACATAAAAACAAATATCTCACAAAAAAAAAATCAAGGTCAGGGAATATTGCTCCAAAAATATGTTTTAAGGAAACGTTTACTAAAATATATATTTTTTAAATAAGATTTATGGGTCCAACTTAGCAATCGTATCGGCATTATTTTTTGGTAATCACATTCGTAATTTTGGTGCTATCGAAAATGATCCCCTTTACATCAAAAAGGGAAGGCGAAATTGTTATCGATAGTTATATTTATCGAAGTTGTTATCGATATTTCTTATATATCGAAATTGTTATCGATGTTTTTTTATTTATCGAAGTTATTATCGACGTTTTTATCTATCGAAATTGTTATGGAATTTTAATAGGATATCGATAAAAATATCAGTTTATTTGGTGATATTGTTGCCGATGTTAATGATTGTATGTGTGTATATTTTTCGATATTGCTATAGATACTTTTGTTTATCGACGTTTTTAATTATCGAATGGTGTCCAATATTTCTATTTAGACAAATAATGTTATATTTCGTGAAATAATATTGATACATTTCGTGGTATTTCTATCGATATTTACTCTCGAAATTCCTAATTATTCACATTAATATTCACATTCATTATATTTCGTTTCGATTTTGTGTTCGTTTTCATAATCGTATGCACATTCGTTTTCGGAATTGACATCCTACCTCAGAAAGGGCCTTTATCGTCCTTAGATCTCTTTTGTAGACCAAGTTTCCCAAACCTTTCTTCCACTCAATATTTTTTAAAAAAGACAAATGGTTCTTTACCACGTGCCACTGTACACTATACATACCGAATTAATATGATTTGCTGTCTCATCGGAGCATTCCTTGAGGCCACCATGCTCTTTCAAAAGTCCGATCAACTTCTCAGTGGGGGATTGTGCCAATAAATGGCAATTGCGTTGCTGAAACTTGCGTGTACTTAAAATATTGATCGCCTTATTTGAGCCACTCAAATCCAAGGAGCTGTTTTCGCTGCTACCCTGCTTAACTTTGAAATGTTCCCTATTTGCGGAGGCATCGGTGCGTTGCTTAGCTGCACGAAATATAGAAATGAATTTCTACCGTAACATTGACTATCGAGATTTAAAGGCAACACACACACGCTTTCTGCCATCCACTTACCCTCTAGCGATACGCCCCTAACCTCTAAAGCAGGCAACTTCCTTGGTATTTGCTTCGCTTGACCCGTGCCACCGCCACCGCCACCGCTCATACCAATACCAACACCTGCTCCACCGGAATTCACTTCATTGTAATCGCAGCGCTCGTCCCACGAATTTGAACGTCTTGACGCGCGTCGTCTTATTTGTTGCTGCTCAAAGTCATTTGCATTCGGTTCATTGACTTCCTGTGGCTGTTGCTGGACCGGTATTGGCTGTAGTGCGGGTGTCTTAGGCGCATGTCGTTGGCTTTCGTTTTGCAAGTAACGTAACCTGTTCAGAAGCGGGGGAGATGGGAGAAATGGCGCAACAAATTAAAAAGGATATTAAAATCATGCGGCGGAAATGTAGCGGGAGTGCGCTTCTTACGAAACTTACGAAAATGCGCTGGGCGGCCTGCCGGCCAATGCGACCTTGCCATAGAGCGCACGTCCAGGCTCACGTGGCGTGATGGGTCGACGCGTGCTGACCACTCGCACGCCACCAACTAACCGGAAGGAGCAAGTAAAAAAAAAAAATTAAGAAAAATGCAGATTGATCAGAAATGAAGGCCGCCGCAATGTAAATGAATTTATTTTTATGTGCACTTGGCGCGCATAAAGTTTAAGGACAAATAAATTTAACCAAAATTTTTCCAGCCAGCATTTCATGCGCTCATTCCACAACTGACAACTTACTCGCTATGCGATTACTGCCACCGCTTCCGCCATCACTACTGCTATGCATCACGTTCGTTGTTGAGATCTCCGCCAACATTGATTTGGCTTCGCTAATCATTTGTGCCGATGTTTTTCGCCTCTCCAAGCTATTCGTTGTGTCTCCAAATGCAAAACTTTGTATTATTTGTTTTTGTAGTTCTGGAGTTATTTGCCGTTGATGCCTCACTCTGTTTCGGTAATGTCCGTCACCATCGGCGTAATTATCGAACGGTTGCGCTTCTTTTTGGGAATGTTCCACTTTTCGACTTTCACTTTGCGATCGTCTTTTCTTGAGCAATATCATTCTCAAATTTATTTAAAATCTGAAGCTTTTCACTTTAAAACCGCTGATATGTTTTTCTTTTTAGCGCTTAAGCGCGCATTTTGAGCATTTCGTTTCTTTTTGCACTTTTGCACTACATTGGCCTTTTAGACACTTTTGCGCATTCACAAATCCAATTGGCAAAAGTGAATGGATATCCTGCCTGTATTACGGCTGAGTTGAAAATAACTGCAATATGGTGGTAATAGTGTATGGTATAGTGAAAATATTTTTCGTTTGGGCTTTCGTGCACCATGCCAACGGCGGACGGGTGTTGCATGTGCCCATTGTAGTCGTTGGCTTGTTTTTTTTTTTGTTTTTGGTTTAGTCAGGTACTTACTCCTTGGCCTGGCTTCAATTGTGTTATGTGCGTACGTTAGAAACGATGGTGTAAACATGGACGTATGTATGTATGTGTGTTTATGTTTATAGAGACATGTACAGCACCGTGATATATTAGAGAAGTGTGTAGCTGCTATCCACTGTAGGATTCGGCCTATTTACAGCAAAAGCCTCAATTAAGTCAGTGAAAAATATCATACAGCTTTTTTGAAGAAATCTCAAACATTTCACGTTGTGTAACATTATTTACTCGAAATTTTAATTCGTGATCTTTTTCGTTTTTT